ATTTAATAATTATAATTAAATACAAAATATCTTTTTTTTTTTCTACATTATATTTTTTAAACTAAATTTTAACTTTCTCGACAAAATAATTAGGAGCCATTACCACGGCCGACGGAGGGTACATTGTGTTACCATTAACGAAGAATTAACGAGGGCGTACCTGATATTGAACGATCCCTTTCCATCAATGCCCATTGGTCTCCCTCATCAATGATTAAAATAATGTGTAGTGTACACGGCACATACAAAGCTGCAAACTCCCATTTCAAATTGAAAGGAAAAGTAGGAGAGAAAAAAATAAAAGAGGAGCAGTTGGTGCTGGTTTTCCAACTTCAATGGACGTTAATGGGGCAGTAATGTAAATTCGGAAACCTCAAAACTACAACTATAATGGCGACCGACGAGCTACAACTTTAAGACTGATGAAGAAGGAAGAACGAGAGGGAAACATGCGTCAAGGTTCACACTCAATCATCCTTACACTCTCATGCTGCACCAAGCACATGACTACCGAAATTATACTGATTTTTTAACTTTTCTTGCCTATCTTTCTCTCATCTTTGCTTTCATTTTAGTCCAGTTTTTGGGTTTGTTCTTGGTTCTTTTGGGGTTCTCATTTCGTTTTTTTCTGCTTAATCTTCAACATATCTATACCCATTTCAGGAAAGGTTGGAATGGAAACTGGGTCGACTTCAGATTCGCTGGATAAGGTTGAGGGACAAAGGGGTAGGGGGAACAAGCTTGGTTCTATGCTACCCAATATCGAGCCGTTTGTGCCGAGGAGAGAACACAGTCCGAATGAATTGAGATCTTGGGCGAAAAGAACTGGGTTCGTTTCTGACTATTCTGGAGAAACCGGTGTTAGTTCAGAGAGTTATGAGATTGATAGAGAGAGGGGTGGTTTTGATCCGAAAGGAGGTGGGTTGTCTCCCAAAATTGAGATTGACCCTATTCTGGGACGAAGCAGACCCAATAGAGGAGCAGAAATTGAACAGGAATTGGGTTCTGGGTCTGGGCAGGGGCATGGATTGAGGAGGAATGAGGGTGATGCGGTTTTGTGGAATCAGAGGAGAGTTGGAGATGAGAATGTGCGGGAGGACAAAGTTGATGAGAGGAAAGTTGGATTAAATGGGAATGTGAATGGAATGGAAAATAGGGAGGGAATTATGAATGGGATTGGAAATGGACGTGGGAATGGGAACGTAAATGGAATGCCAACTGTAATGCCTACTGCTGAACAGAAAAATGAGGATGCCAAGGGGGAAAGGGATGTGGAAATTGACATGTATCCGGGAGGAGAAGAACCTGTTTGTGAGGGATGGACTGGACAGTCAGGAATGAAGGTTGGGCTGAGAGATAATCCAGGTTTTGGTTAGTATCCTACTATCTTTTACCATTTTCCTTTCTTTCTTTCCTTTTTTTTTTTTTTTTCCTGGAAATTCTGCCACCGTTTTTCAATTGGTTGTCAATGAGCATGTGTCTCTGACTTCGTCAGAACTGTTTTATTGTGGTTGAGGCACGCTTCGTACATAAGGCAGTACAATGGATGAAGAAGTTGAAATTGATTTAAGTGAAAAATTGTTAAGAAATGGATATTGTAGTATCTAGGAATTTCAAGAGTTTCGAACACAGAATGGCATATATGAACAAGAATCACATCTTACTCAGTTTGAATTCTTTTATATCTGGTAATGCAGCAATATGTGGGTTGAGTGTTATCACAATCACCTTTACTTTGTTATCATGTGTGTTGGCTAGTTGCGCTTTAGTTGAGACTAATCTACTCTATGTAAGAAAGAAATACGTTCAATTGTGAGCTTCTTGAATAATTGTTAAATCTATCTTCCCAAATTATCTGTCTCATCATCCAAAAATAATCCTCATATCTAATTGGAGCTGATCCAATACAATACTTCAAGGTTGATTAAGCTTTCTGAATCATTTAGATTCTTGAATCTGGTCTTTGATCTGAAGCCTGAGATTATTCGTAAAATTTCAGAACTTATTTCTGATTGTCTTATATTGTCTATCAACCACAGCACCACTTATGTATTATGGCCTGCAGCAATTCTTATCTCTGGCTGGATCACTTGTATTCATACCCTTGATAATGGTCCCAGCCATGGGTGGAACAGATGTAAGCATTTTTCTTATTGATACCTTGATGTCCACAGTTTTAGAAGGAACTTAACAGTGCTCTATATACTTGAGTCTTACAGAAAGATACAGCTGCCGTGATTTCTACAATGCTGCTAATTTCTGGCATTACAACAATACTGCACTCTTACTTTGGAACTCGACTTCCATTGGTTCAAGGAAGCTCATTTGTATACTTGGCTCCAGCTTTAGTTGTTATGAATGCTCGGGAGTATAGGAATCTCACAGAACATGTAAGTTTTTTTTAGTTAATGTAACAGAACAAGTTTAAGTATAAGAAAATAAACATTAGGTCAGCTCTAAGTTCTTTTGGTTAAGTTCATCAATTAAGTTCCAAATTTAGGTATAACTTTTGCATTTTGAAATTAATGATTGCTTATTTCCTTCTTGAATTTGATTTTGGGAGAGTATAGGTGATCATGTATGGATGATCGCTCTTCCTTTCTATTTCTATTTTTTCCTTTTTCAGCATTAAAGAATTTAAGAGATTTTTATTTGTAGCGGGCAAGCATTTAACTCTGGTAATCTGGTTTACTGCAGAAATTTAGGCACATAATGAGGGAACTGCAAGGAGCTATCATTGTTGCTTCTATATTCCAAAGCATCTTAGGGTTCAGTGGTTTGATGTCTCTTCTATTGAGGTAATTTGATAGATGGCTTGTAATAGCTTTCATTTGCTTCATCATAAACATTATTATTTATGTAGAACTAGAAACTGCTTTGACTGTTGCTAGGTTCTTTTCTTGCTATTTATCTAAATTTCTTATTGTCAATCTCAAATGTGTAATGCAGAGCTGGCAAATATTTATTAATACAACCTTTGTCCTTGGCTTTTCTTGAAACTTGTATGATTGTGAAAATTATCTTCTTTTTTTTTTTTTTTCTTCCACAATCATTATAACAAGGGCTCTTCTATTCCTCCTTAACCATTTGATGCTAAATACTTGTCTTGAGAAACTATTGTATTGAGTGTCTGTACCATTCTTAGTTACAGTAATACAAGTTGGGAAGACCTATGATGTTTTTTTTTTCTTTATTCAATAATATTGTTTTGCAGATTAATTAATCCAGTTGTTGTTGCACCAACTGTTGCTGCAGTAGGTTTAGCGTTCTTTAGTTATGGTTTTCCACAAGCTGGCAGTTGTGTTGAGATCAGTATACCACTCATATTGTTGGTTTTGATATTTACCCTAGTAAGTGACTTCCTAAGCAAAATAAGGAGATCTATGTATTTTGATCCTTCTGTTTGTCACCAAAACAGTTCTCTTTAACCCTTTTGCCAAGTACTTTGTTTAAATATTGTTCTTGTTTTCTTTGTGGCTCATTTTCAGTATCTTCGAGGAATATCCATTTTTGGGCATCGCTTATTCCGAATATATGCGGTATGTACACTTATCTTTCAATATGTTCTTTCTAACTCTTCATTTTGTAGATGTACTTGTTTTCTAAGCAAAACTTTCCTACCTCTTCTTCCCATAGGGCTGAAGAGATACTACCTGTTCGTGTAATCTTTTTTACTGGAAGTCAAATTTCTGACCTGTTATTAGGAAAAAAAATCCTTGATATTTGTTGCTGGCAAGATAGTTCCAGCTTTTAGTGGTTTCTGCATAATTTGTTCTTCCTTGCATTTGAATCTATTTAGTATGGGCTTTTAATCTAATCATGGTTGCTAGGAAATAACCAACATATTTTTGTAGAGATATACAAATTCAGGTCCTATGAAATTTACTTTTGCCCCTTGTTATTTCCCTACTAAAATAACTTGGAAGTGCCATGATAACATTGTTCAAATTTTGCTAGATCCTTCATCAACTACAACTTGAAATTGTTGGAACCTGAATGTTTGCTACAAAAGGATGATCTGTAATATTTCCCAAAGAAAGCCTCCTACTACAATTCTCTTGGAATCTTACCCTTATCACTAGAGTTAAAATAGAAAAATAGGCAGTGAAGAAATTTTTGCTTCATCATTCTTTTGACTTTTTGGCTTTGAGTTGCTAATGGTGCTTACAAGGGCCATTGCTTTTTGTATGGGTTTATTTGCTTTAATAATCTTTCTGACATTGTTTAACTATTTCAGGTTCCCCTGAGTGTCATGATTACATGGATATATGCGTTCTTTTTAACAGCTGGTGGTGCATATAATTATGAAGGTTGCAATCCAGACATTCCCAGTTCAAACATTTTAGTTGATGAATGTAGGAAACATGCATATACAATGGAGCACTGCAGGACTGATGTTTCAAATGCATGGAGCACTGCTGCTTGGGTTAGAGTTCCATATCCATTACAGTGGGGTGTTCCTATCTTCCATTTAAGAACATCCATGATCATGATCATTGTGTCACTAGTTGCATCAGTGGATTCCGTAAGTAGTTTATCTTATACATGCATCAAAATGCTATGGAAAATGAACTTTTTGATCATAATATTTCCATTTTGGGAAATTTCATGCTATATTTTCTTTGGGTGGTGCTATTGGGACAACCTTTTTATCCCACCTTTTTATACAACTTCCACATGTCATTAAATGAGTGGATGCATTCAATATCACGGGTCTCACATAAATTAAAAGAACCAATAATTTTAATAACATGTCAGGTTGTATAAAAAGGTGGGACAAAATGATTGTCCCAATAGCATTTCCCATTTTCTTTTTTCTACAATTCTATTTGTGGAATGCATGTGGCTGCATATATGGTATGTTATAAAAGAAAAATGAGATTAAGAAGATTATAAGAGAATAATGAAGCCAATTGATTTGTTGATGTTACACGGTTTAATGTCTTTAATTAGAAATTGAAATGATTAAACTCAAAGCTGATTCTAATGTTATAATGAACATGCAGGTTGGGACATATCACTCTGCATCCATGCTGGTCAATTCAAGGCCTCCAACTCGTGGAATTGTCAGCAGAGGAATTGCAGTGGAAGGTTTCTGTAGCCTTTTGGCTGGACTTTGGGGTTCAGGCACTGGTTCAACAACCTTGACTGAAAATGTGCATACCATCAACATAACAAAGGTGGCAAACCGAAGAGCCGTGGTTTTTGGAGCACTTTTCTTGATCCTCTGCTCATTTGTAGGTAAATCAGCATGACATAGTGAGAAATAATCCAATATCATTTTAAAATGCAAATCCATGGGTATGTTTTATTTAGCCTGTTCGGTCTTCTACATATTTAATATGGATGTGCTTATTATATATATTAGATTAAGCATCCTATTGGATGGTATATATCTAAAAACCCTTGAACTCTGCATTGGCATTTTGGATTAGATGAAAGGTAGTATAATATGTATTTTACAAAATGGAACTAATATACACCCAAGGTGCATAAAATGTTTTGTTAAAACTGAATCGTTTTGAACTGAATTTCATCATAACCAACCTTTCGGGCTTGATCCCTGCCATAAGGTTCTGTCATGTGGTTATTAATATGCACTGTTTGGATAATGGACATGCCATTCTGGAACATATTTTGCCTGTGGTTCCTATCATGAGGCAGATATCATCTTGATTTCTTCACTTTTACTTGACAGGGAAAGTGGGTGCCATCCTTGCTTCAATACCGCTGGCCATGGCTGCTGCCATATTGTGCTTCATGTGGGCTCTCACTGTGGCCTTTGGTCTTGCAAATTTGCATTATAGTCAGGCTACAAGTTTTAGGAATGTAATCATAGTGGGGATTTCATTGTTTCTTGGTCTGTCCATCCCTGCCTATTTTCAACAGTTCCATTCTGAGACGAGCTTGATACTTCCAAGTTATTTTGTTCCTTATGCAGCTGCATCAGATGGACCAGTCCACACGGGTAGTCCACAAGTAAGTTATTCTTCCATACTGTGTTCAGTAAAACTGTATTTCTACATTTTCATCAGACAAGATCGTATCACACAACAATTTGAAGAAAACCTCTCCCAACTCGAACAAATTTTCTGGTAAAACTGGCAGTTGAAGATTCTAAAATCACTATGTAAATCTAAAAGCATCTACATTTTCAATATCATGCGTATTTGGACCTTTGGCCAAACTAGCGTCACAGAAAATTGCTAACCACCCTGTTGTCCCTAAGCATAGACCGAGGAAGCCAACGGTATCAGGCCTAAAATCATCTATTTAACTGGCTAAAGTTATTCTGGCAAAAACAAAAAAAAAAAATGGCTGACTAGAGTTGTTTCCCTTTTCCTTTTAAATGTCTGCATGGACATGCACTATGCCACTTACCATATATTACTTGATTTTATCATATGCAACCTTTTAGTTTTCCCTTTTTATCTGAGAGAGACTAACGTTGTACTTCATGCATGTGTCAGCTTGATTTTGCAATAAATGCACTCATGTCTTTGAACATGGTAGTTACTCTGTTGATTGCATTTGTGCTGGACAACACTGTTCCTGGCAACAGACAAGAACGAGGAGTGTACATATGGTCACGTGCTGAAGACATGGCTGCTGATCCATCTTTGCAAGCAGAGTATTCCCTGCCAAGAAAAGTTTCATTGTGTTTTTCTCGTGCAAGATGTTTCGGCGCATAGCATTTTTTTTTTTTCTGGCCAACCGAGCATGATGGTTAGGAGTGTTGATGGCTATTCCCCAGGTTGAACAGAAGGGAGCCTGGAGACAGCACGGGTTAGTGACAGTTGAAATACATATTGTTGATTCTTTTACAGAATGAGATTCATGTACCAGAGATAGAAATACGAAACCCAACCATAATGTTTTGTTTGTGTATATTTACTTTCTTCTGATGAGCCCAGAAAGAAAGTGAAGCTTGCTGTTGATGTACAAAAGGATTGAAAATGTTTTACACTTCGGCTGCAGTTGATCTCTTTTGCTGCCATTCTTCGATGAGGAATCGGAGGTTGTGATTTGGGGTCAGGGTTTTGTTCCTCAGCCTCAAGATTGTCATTGGCGAGGTATCGCGCCCAGTCCCGAACCATTCCTCTATAGCTTCCAATTCATACGAGAACCCGTCGGCTGCTATATGTGGATTTTTCATCACCTCCTGAACTCAAGAATAGAACAGAATTAGCATGATAAACACGACTAATTGTTCAAAAGCATACACGGTTATTTTCCTGAAGTGAGGTTCCCACCTTGTATATCGGGCAGAGGAAATAGTTTGGTGCCTCGCCGGGATCCTCTCCGGTTTCATCTCCATCTCTTGCCATTGCATTGTCAGCCTTCTTCCTCAGCTCGTCCAGCTCCCCCATCACGTTTGCTATCTGCAATTCTGAATTGGGCTCTCTATTAACAGATGCGCATCTTATTGCTATCCTAGCCAGTTCCCCTGCCAAATCCGGTGGCCATTTCCCTGCTGTCTCATCTAATACTCGAACCAAGGCAGCATGGTCCATGGTCATGGCATCTTCAACGAGCCCCGGCCAGTTTCTTCCCGTTAGAATTTGCAGCAGTAGAACCCCAAATGCCCCAACGTCTGATCTCACGTCGTGTTTATAATCATCATTCTCAGGGAGCCCAAATCCGGTGATCTTCGCCACAAGGTTCCGGTCTAGGAGGATGCTGGCAGGGGTAAGGTTGCCATGAACAATAGGCGTCGGCTGAGCCGAATGTACAAAGCTCAAACCCAAACCTATCTCGTAAGCTATCCGGAACCTGTCATGCCACCGGAGACCTCGGTTTATTTTCCGAACATTCCCTCGGCCGGTAGACAGAATTTCCCTTAGGCTCCTATTCTGCATGTACTCGAAAATAATGCACTTGAGTTCAGCACAGGAACCCATCACGGGGACTACATGCGCATGCCGGATTTCCATCAGAAGCCTAACCTGCACACCGCCAGGTCAAAAAAAGTTGAGGACCTGATTGATTAGTTATGAAAGTTTGAGGGTTAAAGTACAAGAGATGAGGGGCTTAATTTTATCTTTTGTTTTTAGTTTTACCAGAGCTTGAAAATGTTCATCGGAAAATCCACGGACAAATCCGAACATTTTGACTGCAACCGGTGAACGGTTGATCCGTCCCCGGTAAACGCTCGTCCAATCGCCACCGCACTTCAATCTTTGGCGCTCCGAGAAATCATCCGTCGCCACTCGGACATCCTCCGCCGTGTACTCTCTGTAAACGCATCTCGCTTTATTCATCTTCGAAACCGTCTCGATCGCGTCCTTCTCTCTGCAGAACTCGATTCTCCTCTGGAAAACATCTCTCTGTCGCCGTAGCTCCTCAATTTCCCCAATCGTCTCCATTCTCGTCCTCACCGCCTTCTCCAACCGCGCCTCCCCCTGCGCTCTCGCCAGAGCCAACGCCTGTAACTTGCTTGATAACTCAGATTCGAGTTCAGTCAACGATCTCAACCTGCTCTTGCTCTCTTCCACATCCTTTCTCAGTTCATAAAGCTGTTCCTTCTCCAAATCCAAGCTCTTCTGTATCTCCGACTGATTTCCGATCTCTTTCTTCGTTCGGGCTTCCAGATCTACAGCCTGCAAAAACACAAACTCAAAATCAAGAATCAAAACACAGAAAATATATATATATATATATATATATATATATCTGATTGTTAGTTTCCGAATCCTCGAGAAAATTAGGTAATATACCCGAGCAGTGCATAGAGAAACAGCCCATTCAGCTTTAGAACGTCTGTCAGCGTTCTCCTTTACCTCTTTCTTCTTCATCTGAATCGTCTCTTCAGCTTCATTGATTCTACTTCTCAGATATTCTTGTTTCTCCGCCAAATTGTGCTGATGGAATCATTGTCAAATTCAGGTTTTCCCAGCATCCAAACAGGATAAGGAAATTTTTTTTAAAAAAAATAATAATAAACAATATGTCTCTAGGGTCAAAAAGGAATGAACATGAACAAACAAAAATTCCAAACAAGATGGTTGAAATTTGAAAACAAACAAAGGATTTCCAACTAACACCGAATTATTTGAGAATGATTTCATTCCAAGAAAATGAAATTATCTTTTCTCACCATGTTCAAGGCTGGATTACCGGACACATCTTCCTGAATTGGGCTGGTTTCGACACTGTCACTCCTTTCCTCCAATTTTTCCTCATCCAAATTCAATGACGACAAGTGTTGGAAATAGCTTTCAATCTCCTGGATATCGGATTCCCATTCATTCTGTGAATCCACACTCGAGGTGGATGGACGGTGGCCAGATTTCGACCTGGAATTATCAGAGAACATTCTTGAGAAACTTCTAAGAAAAAGATTATCTTTCAGCTTTGTAACCGGAATTCCTTGATCATCCTCTAGGCATCCTTCTTCATACACTTGTTTCCCTCCACAGATGATAAACAGCTCGCAGAATTCAGGTTTGTGCTGGTGAACATAGAATGATCCAGTGATTGCACTCTTCAATTTCCTATAGAGGAGAAGAAAAAAAAAAAAAAAAAACAGAAAAATCATCAGAATCACTGGAATTACATTGTTTCTGAGAAAGGGAAATGGGGTTGAATTCCGTTACCAGGATGAACATTTCATGAAGCTAATCCCCAAGACCAGTTTGGTGATTCGGAATCGGGAGATAGAATCAACAAGGAGCTTGTGGATGGGTTCTTCATATTTCAAGATTTCCGTTTTTACTTTTACCTATGAATATCAGAAATTAGTTCAAAACTATACTTATCTGTAATTTCAACAAACATATGATGGGCAAGGCAAAAGAAACCTACCTTGCAACAGAAAGCTATGTATGTGGATAGTAATCTGTCTATCTTTCCTTGCTCAAACTTTCTGATGATTTCTACCTTCTCTTCGCTCACAGTACTCGCAGGAACCTTTCCGACTGAAACAAGAAAATGGAAATTAATTCCAGAGATTACATAGAGAATAACTCTGATGCAATTAGAATTCTGAAACAGGAAAAAGTAAAATTAATTCCAGAGATTACATAGAGAATAACTCTGATGCAATTAGAATTGAAGAAGGTTACTGACATGGAGTGCGAACAAGATCGTCTTTGGAAGTGTTGTAGGGGACATAGAGAATGACTATGGAGATTGGTCGGGAATTCCATTTCTTGAGGGTCCAGTCCAGGACCTTGCATCCGTCATCTGGATCATCTCCGAGGGCGACGTAGACCTTCTCCGGTTGAGTATCCATTGATGAAGCAAGAACAACTTCAAACTGGGGAAATTCAGCACTATATGAATTGGAAAGAAGCCTGGAATTGACAAGAGGCAGGGGTGAAAGCAAAGTCGTGTCAAAGAAAGCGTGTGGAAAGCCCAGTGGGAAGGGAAGGCGAGGAAAGCAAAAGTTGAATTCTTTTCAAAGGTATGTTAGCGATTGTCAAAAGGAATTGGGTTGGGAGGCGCCCTTCTTGCCTTTTTAGACTTTTCCTCGTGTGCCTCAACAAACACTCGGTGTGATGAACTTGATTTTTGAAATTATATTTATCTGGGAATTTCTTGGAAAATTACTATAGGTTTGTTGCATAGTGATCGAAAATGTCATGTTCATAATATGACCTTATATTAGTAAATATTTTTTTATTCAAGATATCACAATTATATTATATGTATTTTTTATTTAATTTTACATTGTTATTTTAAAATTATAAGCTTATATTTATTATTTAGTGAAAGACAAATTTTATTAATATAACTAAGAATATATTACAAGATTGTTGGTAAGGGAAAATGAAGCCTGACATGATCGTCACCAATTTCATTTAGCACTTACCAAGATTTTTATAATTGATTTAGCGTCACAATAGGTGGATTAAGAAAAACCTTAAAAACTTGATACTACCACAAACTCCATTATATCTAAAGAAAATTCTAAAAAAAAGCTGCTCAAAGTTTTAGGAGCGTTTTTATATAAAAGGAAATAAAATAATTTTTTTAAGAGCACTTTTAGTATATATAGCAGTTTGAAAGTAACTGTAGTAAGTATATATAGCAGTTTGAAAGTAACTATTGTAATTGTTGGTAATTATCTAAACTATTAAAAATAAGTATTTGATAAGTTTATTTATTTTAAAACTGCTACTAATTATGCATTTGATAAAATTTTTTATTTAGTAGTTTGAAATTAATGGATAGTGATTAGATTCGAACTCTTAACGAATTTAAAAAGTTATAGAATGTAATTTTTTATATTAAACTGTTAATGTATTATAAATTTTTAATTATATTGAAAAATTTATTATTTTTAATTTTTTTATAATTTTTAATTAGTATTTATCTAATTAGTTTTAACTTTATTTTTTATCTTTAATAATATTAAGTAATTATTATATTTTTTTACATTAATTTATTATAAAAAATATATTAGCTTAATAAATAAAATTTATTAATTAATTGAAAAGATTAAATTTTTTTATTTTATTTAAAATTAATATAATTTTTTATTAAAAAGAAAATTAGTGTATGATTGATCACCATCCAGTCCATGGTTCCTCTTCCACCACCGTAGCCATCTCAAACTAGACACCGACCACCTGGGTGATCCTCTTGCACACTCCAACCGACTGGACTTCAGCCAACAGTGCCTCCACCTCCTCCACGTTCTCAACCTAACAGAGTTCAACGTCCCTAGTTTACTCAGTCCCAAAGGAATAGAAAAAGAAGAAATCTAAAGACAACACCCACAGAGCACGAACAATCGCCGGATAAAAACCTCTCATGGTCAAAACCCTAGACAAGAGAAAAGAGAGCTCTAGTTTAAATTAAAACATCTAAAATGAATAAATTTAAATTATTTTGTTTTTTTCTTAACAATGTTGTCATTAGAGTGGGTTTGAACCGGTCCAAAGAGAAGAAAGATGTGCCTCAAAGTGACAAGAGGCCACTTGACTTGAAAACGTGGTGTCAAATTTAAATTAATTTGTTTCATATTTTATAATCTTATATTTACATAGTATTATAAAAATATATCATTTTCATGAAGTGGTTGAGAAAATGCCAATAAAGGCTGTACTTGGATCTTTTCTTTAATGGTAATAATATAATTAGAAATTAATTATTAAAAAAAATATTAATTAAATCCTTAAACTTTACTTTTAAAATATAAATAAGAAAAACTCATATATCATTTTCGTTTCTATAAATCCTCCTAAACAACAGTGAAAGATATGACACTGGACGGTCAATTTAATCCAGTTGT